AATGATATATATTATATAATATAATGTAAAAACTAAATCAAAGATGTCGCCACTATTATCGAAATTGGAATTAAAAAAGTCTGTACTATCGACCTTGATTGAGTTGGGTAATCGGTTTAGCATCCCCTTAATATCTCAGATCACAAGGCAGAACGACGTTTTTTTCGCCAAATTCTTTTGTTTCATGCAAAAACGCGTCGAATAAGGCCGTGGTCCGAATCATGCTGACAACGCTCATGAGCATTGTTTGTCTTCGTTTAACATTTGACAAACAACAAAGATGAAATGATTTTTAAGCGTTGTGAGCGTGTATCGGACCGCGGCCTAAGCCTAAGAGTGGTTTCACAAAATTTTCCGATTTTAATAATTTATTCGATCATCCGCTCATATATACGCGATGGAAAGGTACCGGTTCCCCATGAGGCGTACTTTTCGAGAGGCGTAGGTTACGAAAACCAATCGTAAATTCATTTAGCATTTCTGTTAGAGTGTACAACAGAAATTCTAATCAGCAATTGGTTGCATTAGTTCCGCATTTCTCTAATTTTCCGCGAAATACGCTCAATGTGAATGCGGACTTTCAGAATGGCGTATTCTAGTAAACAAAAAATAACGTATTCTAGTAAATTACTAGAATACGCAGGTTACGCCGCATGTGACGGCACTCTCAACCAGTCGTAACCAAGTCGTTCAAGTTGGTTATTGGCCAACTTCACCGATTATGACTTAAGATCGCTTAGAACTTCTGACTTGTGGCTTATTGTAGAAGGGCTGTCATATTCTTCTGTGATTGGTTAATTTTCTACGACTTAAGACTCTACGACTGTTATGACTTCTATTCTAGACCCCGCTTAACTGACTGATCGATAAAGCCGGGAGCACATAGAAAAACGTAAATTCGTAAGACGTAATCAGTAAGTCAGGAACTACATTTTAAGCCTTAAACCATAAGAAATGGGCGAATCACAGTCGCTTATTCTTCTCGGATTCGACTGTAATTGGTCAATTTCTTACGGCTTAAGGCTTAAAACACCTATTGTAGATCCGGGGTAAGGAAATCGTAACATTGGATTCGCTACTGGCCTTACGGTCTCTACTGTGATTGGTCAATTCACTTACTGCTTGCTAGAGTCCTAGATTTATCAGAGAGGCGCAACCGGCGGATGGTACCCAGTTGGACACGGCTCAATTGGACACGAGCCACTCACAGCGCTTGAGATTACAAAGCTCCTAAGCACCGGTTGCTGTGATTGGTGGTGGTCAATCGGGATCACCCCGCAACCAACTTAAGTCAGTATGACAAAGGTGCTAAGGAGAGTACTAAACATGGCCGACATGCTATGAAACTGCCTTTAAACTATGTCAAACAAGATAAGACGTATAGGATATTGTGAGATAGAATGTATAAGATAAAATGAAATATAAATATGTCACTAGTACTATAAATGGCTGCCAAGTCACGCAATTGGTCAGATTGCAACAGCGAATCAGAATGCATAACACCGGTTGCGCATCTCTGATAAATCCAGGACTCTACTGCTTGCGTGTTACGGCCTTAGGGTGCCGTCCCATGATGCGTATCGCTGTACGCGCGTATTCGCGTATCGAAAGATACGACCAATCACTGAAGATCCACCGTTTTACGTACGCGATAATTTTGCCCTTAATGTCCCATGGAGTGGTTCGTGCGTAAGCGGATTAGCGGATCGCCAATTACAACATCATTCTGTTAGATCTGCTTGCAAAATTTACAATTAAATTTGCAATTGTAATTGGCGATCCGCTAATCCGCTTACGCACGAACCGCTCCATGGGACATTGGCTG